CTTCATCTTCCTCTGATTCGTCGTCCGCGTCGGCGACAGGTTCGGGGCTGGGCTCTGACCCGTAGGAAAGGCGAGTAGGGGCGGCGGCGGGCGGGACGGGGGCCAGGCGGCGGGCCTCACGCAGGCGGCTGAAATAATCTACCGCGAATTCGACAAGGTCGGGCGGCTGCTGCCGCAGCACCTCCACCGTGTAGCCCTGCAGCAGCTCGGTGAGCCCGGGCGGGATCTGAATGTGGCTCATGCCGGCGGTGGCCGCGGGGACAGGAGGGTATGGGCCGCCGGCGGCCACGGCTTCCCGCGCTCCCTGACGCCGGCCTCTCACCCGGCGGTCGCACGGTCTCACGCGCGGCCCCGGCCCGGCCTTCTTTCCACCGCGCCGCGCTTCGGCCGGGTTTGCGTTTCCGGGCCGCGCGATCCTGCGCGAGCTCCGCCGGCCTGGAACCGCCGCCGCTGCCGCCGCCGCCGCTGTCAGTTGGCCGCCGCCGCCACCGCGGAGATCGAGGGGCGGACAGGCAGGCGGGAGGGCGGGACGGGCGGGGCCGGAGCCCAGGTTGTGACGCACGCGGCCGCGGGCGTGCGCGCCCCCGCCGAGCGCCGTCCCCCAGTGCGCGTGCGCCGCTGGACTGCCGCGGTCCCTGGGCAGCCAAGGGTCACGGTGGGGGTAGGTCTCCTGCAGCTGTCTCTTGGCTAGGGGCCCTCGTTATGGTCTACAGTCAGCTGGGGTGCTGGCTAATGCCTCTCACCCAGTCATGAAACCTTTTCTTTTTCAACACATGCTAAGCGCCTCCAGTTTGCTTACTGGGCCGCAGGGTTACGACATAGGACCATGGCAATATGTGGCTCCCAGTATGACATAGAATAATCAAAACCACTCTAGCAGATGGTATTAGACCTGACTTTGAAGCCTGTATAGGAGCCGGCCATAAGAACTTCTAAAGAAAAGTCACTTGAGCACTTGGAGGGCTGCAAGATCAAAAGCCTGGCCAGAGCAGGACCATGCAAGCTGAAATGGTCGCTGACTTCAGAAGCCTAGCAGAAGTGCTTGGAAATGTCATTGGGAGTTTCAGTATGATATCAGTTTGGGACCTATCAACATCTACTGTCGTCGAGTTGATACCAACTCATAGAGATCCTATAGAGTAGAACTGGCCAACAGGATTTAAACTATATCCTCCCTTCTCTTTCTACCACGGAGTGGTTTAGCCCTCTCCACCACCCCGGTTCTTTTTGGAACTTGTCATTATGTGCTGCTGAGCCGGAACCAATCCATAGCTGACCCACCAGCCAGGTTTTTAGAGGCAATTAATTGCAAGGGAGGAGATTGCCCATCTCTCCCGATGAGCTGTGTGCATTAGGGATTGCACCGCGGCTTCTTTACCACTAGGCCACCAGCTCTGGTGGAGCTGCCCTTCAATCCTGAAGGCACACAGTTGAAGGCCACTGGCGGCCTTTTGGGAGGATAGAAAATCTCTCTGTGGTTAGCTGCCTCTGAAAATCAGCCAGAGGGGCACACAACAACACAAGAGCTTAACTAATCAAAGCCCAAAGCAAGACAGACCGTCTGCAGCAGCTTCTTCTCTTGACCAGTCTCTCCAGGGTCTCAGATCTAGGACTACACATGTATCCCCACCCGGCACCTACCCCAGGTCATTGGCTATCACTGCTTGATGGAGTTGAGAAGACCACGAGGCACTGTATTCTTTTGCTCCTGGGGAGGGAGCTTAAATAAAACTGGAGAGGCTATTTTCCAATTTGTCCCTCTCCATTATGATGATTGGAAAGTAACAGGGGGGAAAAAAGTTAATTCCTTCCTGGGATATCCATGCCACAACCTAGGTGTTAACCAAAGGCCCAGTGGGCCTAGGATGGAGTCCTCCCTCTCTTACATGGCTCAGCCAGAAAGTGACTAACTGTAAGCTTGGGAACCTGAAGGGCATTGGGGATGGTTAAGCTCCACCTGGTAATTATCCAATACTAATTAAAATTCTCACTAACACCTCCCATACTGGCTTGGCATACACCCAGGAGATGAGTGCTGCTGGGAATTGAGCTCCTGGCAGCAGGAGGCCCCAATCCCCGCTGGTGCAGAGGCCAGCTCAGGATCTAGGCCAGGTAGCCCTGTGATTCCAAACAGCAGTTTCTCCCTGGACAAGCGCCTTGACCCCTGGGAGGAATCTTGGGTCATTAACTTTGTGAGGGAAAGACAATATCTGATGTGTTCTCTGTTGGGTTTTTATTGCAGTCTTGGAGTCTTACCAAATGAATGAACGATGCATTTATACATGGCAGGGAAAAGTCACTGAAGCTGCCCTTTTAACATTGCAGTCTTAGCACTGTAACCTTCTGCTGCAAAACTCTGCTACTGCTCTCAAAGTATGAATACCTCACGAAGGATGGGCAGTGAAGAATTGGAGGAGCCAAGATGGTCCTTTTAGGAGTCAGCCCTTGACTGTGATACCCAGGAAATCTGCATGTGTGACCCACTGTACCACCATCCCTGGGGATTTGTCCCTTGTCAAGCAATCCTACAGCCAACCTTTTGGAAAGGCAAATTCACAATTCCGCTTTCTAGTTTGCCTATGTCAGGTAAGACTCCAACCTCAATTATAAAATAGAGAAAACTGTGATAAAAGAAGAGAGGTTACTCCAAGCCAAGTACCAGAATACATCCACCCAGTCACTCCAAGAAGCAGGCCCATCATCTATCTGGTCGTGCTCTGATGTTTCAGCTTGGCCATCCATCCACAGAGGAATTAAAGGCCACTGGCGAAAGCAGGTTATCAAAAATTATGAGGATGGGGCATGACAGTGCAGGGTCCACTGTTCATAGAGCTGTTGTGAGTCGTAGTCAACTTGATGGTACCCAACAACAACAAAGAAAGCAGGTAACCCCATGACTTCTCACCTGTCTCCATAGACTAATAATCTTAGATTCAGAGGAAGGATAGATAGCCAACCTCCAGGCCTCACTTGGTCCCTTCTCCTGGATCTCCTGAGCTAGAATCATCTCTGTCCATTCTAGGCAAAACCTCAGTGGATTCCCAAGAGCCCTCATGTATATTCAGTTGAGCTGGTCAAGAAAGAAAGCCCTGGATCAGGAGCAAACACCAGGCGCCTGAACTTCGGTTCCTCCATCCTTACCTCCTGGACTGCTTGCATTCAACCTTGTCCAGCTGCATCACTGGAAATTACCATGGCAACCAAACCTACAGTCAGCCAATAGCTGAGAAACAGATGCCAACAGCAAGTAACAGTGAATGGAAAAGACCAGGAGCCCAAAACCTTCAATAACAAGATAAATACAGCGGTGATGGTAGAGAAGAGGCAGTCCCAAAGCCCTAAGGGGTCCTCCACTACCAATAAGCATCAACACCTTGCACGAACTGTCACACCACCAGCCACTGGCATGTGGGGCCGAGTCTGAGACTTTAAACCACAGATGCAGAGTAACCCCAGAAAGGTCATGTTTAGCATGATAGCAGTGGATCACAGTGAAAATGAAGATAGTTAGGGTTCCAACAGCTGTTTCTGATGAAAAGATAATTTCTTGTACTCTTTTATAATTAAACAAAGCCTCCCTTCTCTTTCTAGAAAGCAAGCCAAAATTCTGTACTCTGTTCTGGGTCTAGGCCCCCTGTGTCCTCTCTGATGCTCCTCCCTGCTGAAGGAACTCAGGTCCATTTGGAACACCCCTTTTCCTTGCCCAAAGGAGCCCCTCCTTTCAGCCACTCCAGCCTCACATCTCCTGAGACCTGCTGGTCACTTGACCACTTCTGAGTGCCAGTCGTCCCTCCCAGCTGACTTAGTGCTTAAACTTAAGAGTACCATTTTCAACTTCATCTTCAAAGTGTTCATAAGCTTCCAGTGGACAGAAGGGGTTGGAGAAGGGAGTTGTATTTTCTCTGCCCTCACCCAGGTTCTCTTTCAGCCTCCACAGGCCCTCCCCATGATCCCACTGCCTTTGGTCCAAGTGTCCATTTTCCAGGTAGCAGTTTATTTACAAACATTTGCTTCTGCACCTGTGAGCCAACCCTCTTCCCTGGATACGGTGTTCTGAGAAATGTCAAAACTGGATAACTGAGGGGCTGCTGCCTTTGCCACCTGAGGGCAAAAACAGAACCTGAGAATAAGTGGGAGCCTGCCTGGGGAGCCACAGGCCTATACACTAAGCACACAGAGAAGGCATAAAGGAAATGCTGGGGCCTCCCTAGAGCTTGTTGGAACTCTGTGTGCCTCCCTGGGCCTGATTCACAGGCAAATGCATGGGTTTTGATCCTCTGGAAGAGACAGGCTTCCTGGTGTTTAGGTCAGGTAGCCCCTAACAACTTCTAATAGCATCACAGGTCTTCATCAGGCCTCTGGATGCCCAGACTCTAGTACTCCTGTTAACAATGCCCTTGGCAGATCAATTCCTCAATCCAAACCTTACCTTCCACATCTGTAAAATGAGGGTTAAAACCCCTGCCCATTAAATTTTCAGTTAAGTGAACATAATCGGATGAGAAAAGTAAGCAATGTGGAGATTAGAAATGGTTATCTGCATGGAAGAAACTCTGAGGTGGAGATTATAGGGCCTGATTACAGAAATGGCCCTACTTTGCTTCTGTCAGGCTGTTGTTTCAAACTCTTCTCTTCAGTTGCTCACCTTTGCTTCAGTTTTATCCTTCTTTGTACCTGGATGAGGCTGTTAACACTAGTTGGCTATTTTAACAATCACCCTCTGGCTTCAATTGAAGGCTGTGACATTCAGAGAAATTGCTGAGGAGGGCCCTGATATTTCCCCTCTCCCTGACACACACTCAGCTCCCATAGAGGAGAGAAGAGATATATATCAGGAACAGGTGGCATTTCAAAGTGCATCATGAAAAGGAAGCACCAGCCAGAGGGAGTTACTCACCATCTGCTCGGCTTCCTTCACAAATATGCCTCCAGGGGCTTCCCTATTTGACTTAACATCTTTGAACACCCCAAAGAGTAAAAGAATCTACCACCACTAACATCAAGGAACCAAACCACTCTGTTAAAAGGAAGATGTTTCAAAGGGCAAATTTTCTAGAAGCAAAGATTTTAAAAGGGATCCTGGGCCATGAGAAAAGGCTGACATTTGGCTGGAATGCAAATGTACTCACAAGGGATTTGGGGCAAAGGCCAATATTTCACCACAGTCTGAGGTCTGGGTAGTGCCAAGAAGAGCTTCAGAAAAGCCCTATGTGTGGTCATCTCCAAATTAGAGATTAAACAAGACATTTCCCACCCCCAACTCCCGCCATCCCAGCATTGGAGGGGACAGGCTTAACACTAGTTTAACATTCCCAGAGGGCATACAATCTTCATCTTTAAAAATTGGTATTGAGTACTTGATCATTATTCCAGTTGGATTAGAAATATCTAGAAGTATCTGTTTAGGAATAAAGCCACCTTCCTTAAACCCCCAAATCTTCAGTTTCCCACACTCTCAGTTCCCTTTGCTTATTCACAGAGTGATGGTTCTAAAGTGCAAGAAAAAGGATCTCTTATACTTGGTGCATGTGGCTGCAATGAGATGGGAAGTGCCAGCAAAACTGTAACAGCCAGCCAAATGAGACAGTGCCAGCTGTAGTGGCCTCAGCATACCCTTCCCTTCACCAGACGAGGACAGCCTGGCTTAGGACTCTCCACTCTGACCATACCTGGATGTACCATTGGCCTGATTAGGAAAGCCAAGATGCTGTCAGATCACATGGTGACCCCCTCCCTCCCAGCCCACATGAACAACCTAGGAGTGCTTCGATCCTTTTAGGAGAAGAGACTCTCCATTTGTTAGCACAAAGAATCAAGAGGCTCAGTGCAGAGAGAGAAATGAATGAGGGTGTGGGTGACATACTAGGCTTTGTTATAATCACATCAACCCACTCTACCCAGCCTCCCTCCTGCAGCAGGGACTGGGGCTGTCACAGAAGGCTTGACTTCCTCCTCTTCTGGTGGAGCCCCTCCCTGAGGCTCCCAAGGAAGGAGGATAGATATCTGACTCCCATTACCAAAGTCGCAGGCTGCCTACTGAAATGGCCCAGAATCAAAAGAAAAAATCATCACACACTGCAAAAATTAGAAACAATATTTATTGCTTCCTGTTAAGATTGAGTGCTCTCATGAGAGGAGAGTGTGCAAAAGGAACCTTCTTACACCTTCTTTCTCACTTATCCCAGCAAGCTGGGGCTATCTATTCAAAACTGTTCTTGCTATACAGTAGGGGAAGCTCTCAAGTTTTTCCTGGGATATCAGGATGCTCTAGTTTTACTTCTTGATTACTTGCATACATAAAGAAACCAAAACCCAATTGCTGATGGGCTACTGCCCATAGGTACTCGTGCCCAGTCCACAGGGCCAGACATGTGGACCTCATGTCCACATTTCCGTATGCAGCTCAAGATTAGATGGTACCCTATAAATCAAAGAAGAACCCAGCAGGTCAAAAACATGCATAGTGCTGCCAGTGAGAGGCCAAGATTCTCTCTTTGATGAGGAGCATGTTGGATGCATTAAGGCCAACAATCAAGAGGTAGGTGGCATGGCATTCTGGCTATAGGGGAAACTGGTCCAGAAGCTACTGACTTGTATATTTAAATCTTCTTTCGAGCTGTCAAGAAAATCCTCTTTTAAAATCCTCTTTTAAACTGACAAGAGTAAATTCAAGTTTCAAAATGGCATACCTAGGGGAGCTCTGGTGGCCTAGTGGCAAGGAACTGCAACTACAATCCCAGAGGCACACGGTTCGAATCCACCAGATGCTCTGCCGGGGAAGGAGGGACAACCTCCTCCTGTACCAGTCAGATCTGATTTGATGGTACACGCACACAAAAATTAAAAAACAAACAAAACAAAACAAAACAAAAAAATGGCATACCAAGTTGTATGAGGCAGATGATGTCATTAAGGCAACTGTTTCACCAAATTCACACACAGAGCTCTGATCCCATCATCCCATCCCCTCACCCTTTGGGACTGCCCAGTCCTGCCCACTGTTTCTCCTCAGCAAACAGCTCCAGCATCCAGAAGCCTTGAGAAGCCTTCAGCTTTATAAGTTGGGTGTGGCCCAATTAAGGAACTTCATGGCAACTTCAAAGCCAAGGAAGCAGGCCTGAGAAGAGATTGGGGGGAAAGACAAAATCCATGTCATGTCAGGACAGAACTCCTCTGGAACCCCAACTCTTCACTCTCATTTCGAGAAAGGGACGAAAATACTTGTTCCACTACAATCAACTTCTAATAACAAAGTCAATAATCAAGTTCCCTCACATCAGAGAACGCCCCCTGATAATTTGAAAAAATAACTAAGTAAGGATGTTCCGGTTTTGAGCAGGGTTTTTGGGAAGACAGGGTCCTCAAACTAAAAACCAAACCCACTGCAGTCAATTCCAGTGCATGTTGGCAGACCACAGAGCAGAGTAGAAGTGCCCTATTGGATTTCCAAGGCTATGTATCTTTTTGGAAGCCGACTGCCACAGCTTCTCCCACAGAGTTACTCCAACTACTGATTTATCCGTTCGCAACCAAATTCTTTAACCGCTGCATCACAGACCCTTAAGCCAGCCAGTGCCAGGAGGCAGCAGAAGCCAACCGACCTGCTCCTTGTTCTGAGCCCTGAAGAGAAATAAAGCCCCTGCCAATCACTTACCGCATTGGCCGGGAAGGCTCGGATCATGACTGCAGTGAAGCCTTTGTATAAGGACGCGATGCCTTCATTCCGGATTAGCTCCCGGAGCACATCTCTGAATCCGTTAGGATATTTCCCAGGAGGGGCTGCAGGGCAGAATCCAATTGTTAAAGGACTTCCATGAGTTTGCTGAGCTGACCATGAGGACCCCCAAGGGGATTAGCTTAAAGTCAAGTCTTCCCACAGGCTTGCAGCACAGGAAAGAAGGCACCTTGTGGGTCACCCTTGAATTAAACCATAGACAACACAGTATATGTTGGATCTTATCAGGCACAAATGCTTGGATTATCAGTGTCCACAGTCCAGAGAAGGGATGAAGAATGAAACAACCTTTCCACTCAAGTGAAAAAGGAAGAGTAGATAGGATATATCTGACTTATTGTGTAGTTAGACTGATAGGAAAATTAGTCTATGATCCCAAGAATGTCATATGGGCCAGAGAGGTACTGGTTTCTGCATGGACAAGGATCACCATTCTCCACCCAGTAACCCAATTCTTAGAAGCTCAGTACTCCTGGGGCAGCCAATTGTGGGACCCACTCCACCTCACTACCAAACACTTACCAGTCTGGAAACGGGACTTGAGCACATCTGGAGGAATAGCCACTGCCCAGTTGAATATCCCTGCAATGCCACCAGCCAACAGGATCCGTGGTGCACTGAGCTCACTGACACTGCAGAACACCAATCACAGTCCCAGTCAGACAAAGGCTGTGGAAAGGTTCTGATGGTCCCTCCTCTTAGGCCAGAAAAGGCAGTTACAGAGGCAAGACAGAAAAACAGGCTGGAGGGAGGAAGGTCGAGGTTACGGCTCCCACGACATAGCAAACTTGGAGGCAGTTTCATATACCTATTTCTTAGACTTGCTCCACTGGCTGAGGCATAGGCTGGGCAGTGTTAGCTAGAGCTCATGTGAGCAGTCATGAGAGGAAAGTGGATCCAGCACCAAGAGCATGTCCTACTTCTGCTGTCAGACGCACCCACAGAAAAGGACAATTCCCCCATAAATGTATTTCTTCTACCCACCTCTTTCCTTCTGGAGTAAAAATATTTTTCAACCATTCATATGTCATAAAATACATTCCACTGGCTGGAACATCTGTTAGTAGGAAAAAAGAAAAAAAAAGAGTGATGAATTAAAGGATATTTTAAAAAAATCTCCATAGATTTCCTGAACTCAGAAGAACTGAAGTTGACATTGGACCCTTCTAGGTTTCCTGAGAAGTTCCTCAAGCAGCCACTTGCTATTTGCAATAACTACTCTGCAGTTATCAGATGATGCATTGGGGTGAGCACTCACGTGAGCAAGCGCAAATACACATGACACGTAATTTCATCTTCTGCGTCCCCTCTGAGTGGGTCCTGCTGCCATTTCCATGCAAGAGCACAGTGTAAGCACAAAACACATGGCATCATTTCTTCTAAAAGGATTCCTCGTATGGGACCCACTGACCTGCCCATTCCAGTTATTATATAGCGGTGCACGTGGGAGGCATCCAAGTTGCCATCAACGAACAAAAGCAGGGCTGTAGTTCTCTCTCACACACTGACCCCAGCAGGAGATGCCTCTCAAAACCAGAGAAGGTGTTCGTAAGTCCTCTTCTTCTACTCTTCCCTCCAGCCTCAATTTCCATCTCCTTGCCACTACTGCTGCCATGGCTTCTACCCTTGAGGGTCTGTCTACAGGCTAGCTTCACAAAGGGTGCATGACTCACCCAACCCAGGCTCATCACCCACACTGCCGGTCTTGCCAGAGCTATGGGATGTATGGTATAGAGGCCAACCAAGTGATCCAGGCAAGGGTCTCTCTGTGACAGACTCTCGCAGGATGAGGGCTTCAAAAGTTACCTCGCATGAGGGTGAGCACAGTGCCCTTGTAGATGCCACGAATGCCAGATTCTTTGTACAGTTTCTTTGCACAGTCCAAGGTACCAGTGTACTTGGTTTCTCCTGAAGAAGCCTGAATCTGGGAGGGAGAAATGGGGTATTAAGCCAGAATAAGCTATGTCTGAGTCAACACATCCAACAGATTATAGCAAACAATCAAATAAGCATGGAAGTGGTCATTATATATTATTGTTGTTGTGTACTGTTGAATCAGAGCCAACTCATAGCTGACTCTCCAGAGGGTTTTCAGTGGCAGTAAATCACACTGGAGGAGAATGACCATACTACCTGCCTTCTTGGGTTGGCCGGGCAGCTCCTTAACACTGGGCCACCCACCAGAGCTCCCTCATTATATATTAGACCTCCTATAAATGAAGGTCTTCACTGTCAAATTGATAAATATTTGGAACATGAGATATTGTGGAAGTCATGAAGTATAGCTGGGTAGAAGTATCACAAAATACAGACACTCCAACTAACGGGGGGAAAAGCAGTAAAAGAGGAAATAATACACAAGAAAATATTTGAAATACAAAAGCATTCACAAATATGGTGCAACCACTGTGGAAGGCAGTGTGGCACTTTCTCAAAAAGTTGCAAAGAGAGACACCATTTGACCCAGAAATTCCACTACTGGGAATATACCCGAAAGAGACCATAACTGCCACCCAAGCAGATATATGCACACCCATGTTTATCGCGGCTTTATTCACAATGGCAAGGAGTTGAAAACAACCTAAGTGCCCATCAACAAACAAATGGATAGAGAAGCTGTGGTATATTCACACAATGGAATACTATGCTGCATTGAAAACAAGGAACTCATGCAATATTATTCAAAATGGGTGACACTGGAGGACATTATGCTAAGTGAAATATCTCAGTCACAAAAGGACAAATACTGCATGGTGCCACTGTTGTAAACCAGGACTGACTTTGGGGTTGGGGGAAGACTGAGAACGATGCGATAAATAATGTATACTGCATTGAAACAGACGAGGGAGAAAACTGTTTAAATGGGATATGTGATAGGTATTTTTGTCATGACAG